CATGTTGGCCAGGCTGGTCTCAAACTACTAACCTCAGATGATCCACCTGCCTCAGCCTCCCAAAGTGCTGGGAGCCACCACACCCGACCCTGACTTATATCTTCTAGCACACTCATATCTGATATATTTACATACAGAATGTTTATTTTTTATTTTATTTTTGAGACAAGAGTCTTGCTCTGTTGCCCAGGCTGGAGTGCAGAGGCATGCTCTCAGCTCACTGCAACCTCTGCCTTCTGCATTCAAGCAATTCTCTGCCTCAGCCTCCCGAGTATCTGGGAATACAGGTGTGTGCCACCATGCCCAACTAATTTTTTGTGTTTTTAATAGAGACAGGGTTTCCCCGTGTTAGCCAGGATAGTCTCAATCTCCTGACCTCGTGATCCACCCACCTTGGCCTCACAAAAGTGTTAGGATTACAGGCGTGAGCCACCGCATCCGGCCTCTAGAACATTTATTTTAGAAACTGATTTTCTTGTGTTTTCACACTATTGTTAAGGCTTTGCATTTATATCTATAATCCATATAGAAAATGAATTTCACTTCAGAATCGTCAAGGGTCATTATCAAATATTTTATTTTACAAAAAAAGGGCCCCATGTCTGCTAAGAGTCAAGACCACTTTCCCTCTCTGAGCTTTTGAGTAATGGGGGATAACTCCAATGTCACAAGGTTGATGAAAAAAGCACCATTCATGTGCTTGGCATCTGTTAAACTCCATCCACTTCAGTTTCCTTCCTATCTGGTTGTCTACTTTTTCTCTCCCACACCTTGCTCAGGGGATATCCCCAGTACTGCCAATGAGTGTGTTTAAAAAAGGAGCAAAGTAAAGCATTTTCTGGTGACAAGTATCATCTGGCTGTTCAGCGACACAAAGGCACAAGCCCAGGGAATGCTGGTAGTTTCCAGTCTAGCACCACAGCCTCTAGAGAAACAGAACCAGGGCACCATTCCCAGCTAGTTTATGGAGCAAAAACAAGAATGGGCAGGTATCATTAGGGAGCAGGGTCCTAGGCTGAGGGCACAAATGTGGCTTGTTTCCTATCTAGGGATGCCTGGGGGGAATTAGGGTAAAAAGGCAAACAGCAGGTCAAGGTATAGACCCAGATACTAAGGAGGCTGAGGCAGGAGGATGGCTTAAGCCCAGGAGTTCCCCACCAGCCTGGGCAACATGGCAAGACCCTGTCGCTTTTAAAAA